GAGTTGCCCAGTCGTAAAAATAGAGACACAAGCAACACCCACGCATTGAGTCAAGAAGATCCAGCGTTCAACATCCTAAACTGGAAACAATGTATTAAAAATACATCTGCGCCAGCCTAATAGATGAGGAAGGGGTGCGAGGCTGGTCAACAGATAGAATCTGTTTACCCCTTAAGTCTTTGCCTAGGAGGCCTTCTACAAGACAGCAGCTGGATGCATGTAACATCTGCCCAAGATGAGTATTTTTATCGAGACACCATCTCTAGCCTTTACTCAACCAAGAGCCCCAAGGCAGGGGGTGTTTTAATTCGGAGTTAACTTCTCCTAGCCTTTGCCTAAAAAAGCGTATCCTACAAGGCAGCAGGACATGAAGCAGGTTGTACTGGGTTACATGTTACCAGTAGCAGGAAAACCTGACCTGACCATATATATATATATATATATATATATATATATATATATATATATATATATATATATATATATATATATATATATATATATATATATATATACACATATATATACCGTTAAGTTGGACTCTCAATGAACAGATAAATAGTATGCCTTTCTTTTTAGAAAGTATAAAGAAGATGTGTGATAAACAATTAAATACTTTATTATAAAGAACGAGAGATCTCTCTAAAGGTAAATGATATCAAGAAAGAGTAAAAAGAGAAGAAATATATGTGATAGGGCAGGATGTGAACCTCGGTCTCTGCGGCTAAATGTTATTCTTAACTGAATGAGCTATACGTTCATTTAACTAAGTGAATAGTAATATTTATTTATTATATAATTAAGAAACTATATAAAACAGAATTTACAGAAAGAGATATGTATGCAAATAGGATTCTATAAATCAGGAAAATGAATAGTAATGTGAACCTTTAGTTGCTTATAATTCATAACTGGACTTGAAAACTAGTTACTTTTAATGGAACACAATAGGCTGTAGAAGCCTCAGAGAAATTATATTCAGAAATGATTATATTAGACTCAAAGTTAGCTAAAAATTATTACAAAGTGTTTAGGACAGATGTCTAGTACAAAAAGCACAAGATTTAAAGCAAAATGATTTATATTATTTGAAAAAGTTGTTTTACGTACATTTCATCATAATTTTAGTAGAACTTAGTAAAGCAAGGGAAACGTGTAGAATTAAGCACAATGAACTCAATCTTAAAAGAATAACTAACAGAAGAGAGGTTGTCACTATTATGAAGGTGACGAAAGATCTGTAATATAGAACATGGAGGTCAAAAAATGCTATCTCAAGTAAAAAGAGTTTGATGAACAAAAGTTACAATGGCTGCGGGATGCGAACCTGGATCTCTGCGGCGAATTATCATGTATCTAACTGATTGAACTATTTTACTTAAATCTATATCTTATTAAAATTAAAAAGCAATATTTTCTAAGATCTATACTTCAAAAAGCGTATTCAAACAGGACTCTTCATACCTTTAAAATCTGCTCGAATCTCGAACTTAAATTTTTTTTTCTTAAATGGACATCATGTTGGTCTCAACACCCTCTCCCCATTGTCAATTCTTGTCAAACTTTTCAGTACCCCTTCCCCCTTATATTTACTGACATCATTTATGGATAGCCCTAAAGTCCTACTTATCCAGGGACTGAGATAACCGAATTCTAATGAATATACTCGTTTTTTTTTTTATAAGCATAATGCTTATAGGCTCAGATTTGGAAGAAAAAAAAAGCATATGTAAGCATATTCCTGAGCCTTGATAGACCATTTAAAAAAGTTTTAAATATATATATTTCTAAATTTAAACGACCAAAAACCGAAGTTTATAACAACATAAATTCAGCTGCATTAAAACCAAAACAAAAATACAGAGCATAAGTCAACTTTTTATTTTTCTTATACCCATTAATCTTTAGTAACGGGCACACTTTTAGAAATTATTGAAATAGGTATATTTTATCAGAAATATTCTTAAGCATATTTTTGAGCCTCTTTTTACTATTTGCTTAAGCATATTCGAACCTGTTTTAAAAATTTCATATGCTTTAAAAAAAAACATGTATATTCCTACCCATCATTCTTATTTTTACTAAACGTAATGAGTTCAAAAAACATCGTTATATATATATTTATTATGCCATGTTTCGTAAGTTATTTCCATTAGGAACTCTTTCATATGTTGTGATGCAAAATACTTTCGTTTCGAAAGAAATTCTGTTTTTTTATCAATATTTCTAAAAATAAAACCATAAAAATTTAATATGTTTTTATACTGAAAGTAAAAATTCATTATAAACATTTTGGGATTTAAAGATGTTAATTTTTACAATTAAAATCTGGCAAACAAATTTTCTTTATAGACTTCAAAACGTCGTTTTGCGAAAATGTTTGTTTCACAAGTGCAACTTCCGAAACCGCTACTATTGTATGTTGCAAAATAGTTTTGTTGCGTATGTCAACTTGCGAAATGCTAAATTTTGGAAGTAGCTTTTGCAAAATGAACATCGGCAATTTTAAATGTTTTATAACATTCGGTACGAAAAAATGTAATTCCTCGCTCTCAATCTCTTTACGAAAGAATGTTGTTTTTCCGGAATTGTACAAAATCCTCCGGTTAACAACCCTAGCATAGCCAGGTTTTTTTTTGCTCACATAAATAAATGCTTTTTGTTTTTTTATTTGTACTTTTATTTAGACTCATATTAACACAAAAGTCTTATAAGTCAAAGAAACAATATTAGGAAAATAAGAATACATACTGTAGGAAAATAAAAAAACTTAACAAAAATGATTAAAAAATTATAGCAAATTAAAAAATAAAATATTTTTTTATAAAAAAACCTGTTACATTTTTAAAATGTTTTTTTTTTTTTTTTGCAATTTCATAACTTTAAAACTATTACTTACTGCAATTATTTCATCGTCCAATTCAAAAAGTGCCAAAGATAATAAATAAATTATCTGTAAGTTTCAAAGTTTTTGTTGTGTTCTTGACTAAAATTTTAATAATCATGTCAATGTCATTTTGTCATATCAATTACTTATGTAAACTGCAGCAAGATTTTTTATTTAATTGAAAAGCTATTACTGATAGCTTTTGCTTAGAAAATGTCACTTTGTGCAGTTATTTAGTAGATGGCTTTGTCATGTGTAGTTATTTAGTAGATTGCTTTGTTATGTGCAGTTATTTAGTAGATTTCTTTATGATGTTCAGTAATGAGGTGGCTTAACTCACTTAAAGAAATTTATTTCATTTCTGGCAATTTTCGCCAGTTGCGGTGCATCTGCTATCAGATTAAAATTTCAATTCATAGATCTAAGGCTCTGTGTATTCCATCATATATGGTGTTTCATCTAGTCTGCCTGGGAACTGGAAATTTTTTCACAGGTACAGATTTCAGCCACCTTACAGATTTCAGGCACCATATTATACATAACTGCCATCTTCATAAATTTCAGCCACCTTATTTGCAGCCTAGCTCCTATGATATACTTTCCCATGCAAGCATGCTGAATTCTACTTCATGCATGAATTTTAAATGCTTCGTCACAGTCAAGTTCTTTAGGCTATTAAAAAATGTTATTGAAATACGATATAGGGGTTGTCTTATGGTCATTTGGACATTCATTCCGATGGACATCCTCCGGATGATGTGTCCCAACTGCATAGTTAAAACTAATTGGGTTGAATAAATCTAATTAGTTATGTCATGAATAATATGCATAAAATAAAGAAATATTTGCGTACAAATTTTTATAACAAAAATTTAAAAAGAGTTTTGCTAGATGTTTGTACTAAATTAATGACACATAACCAGCATGTGAAGTTCCAAAAAGGTCTCCAGTTTTAAAAGTCAAAATATTGAGAAATTTTTGGATTACATCGTGAAAAATTACATGGGATTAAAATTATTTAAACTTATTATTTTTTAGTTTTACATTAACGACTCCATGTTCAAAATTAATAAGTTTCTGTATTTATCTTGATTTTCCCAAAAAAAATCTTGTCTCTCAAAGATATTATCGCATTTCCTGAGCACTTAAGTCCAAGAATAAATAGTTATTTTTAACTTTAAACATAAAGTTCTTTTTGTATCTCACATCCATGCACACAACAACTGCTAACAAAGAGCAACTTAATTCATTTTTTTAAAACAAAAAGTAGCTAACTCTAAAATCAAGCCTTTCACAAACTTACATTTTCAAGTTATTTAAGTATTGTCAATAAAAAATAAAATAAAAACTAATTATTTGACTTTTTTATTATATTATTAGTATTATTTTGAATCTAAATAATTTTGTAATTGTATTAAATAAAGATAAATTGTATTAAATAAAGATAATGAAAATTTTACATACCTTTACATATAAAGATATACCTTTTTCAATAAAGAATTAGAATTTTGAAAAAACTCAATTTGGAAAAAATGGACTTAGTCCCATTTAGAAAAGCACTCCTAAATTATGAGCAGGTTATTTTAAAATATCAGGTGGTACTTTTTATACTATTTTTCATATGATATTAAAAGTTAGCTTTTTAAAGTTAGTGTTTAAATAAGTAATTAATTGATTTGTAAATAAGAGTATTTATTGGATAATAATAATAAATATACTTGATTAATATTAATGAATATACTAAATAAATAGTAAATATACTTGATAAATATTAAAAAATATACTCGATACTTAATGCTGACATGTATTACAGCATATTAAATAGGATATTAAAGGCCAACCATTGTTTTGTTTTGTTTTGTTTTTTATAATTTTTTTATTCAACTGTATCCATATGGCAGATAGTTACATCTAGTTTCAACTTTGAGTTTTTGTTTTTGTTGATGTGCATTAGCATGCATTATTATAGCACTCATTATCATACACCTTTTTTTCTTCACTATTTTCCTAATATTTATTTACTTTGTTTCTTTCAACATCTTGCCTGTTTTTCTTTTTATGTGCATATATATCTTCACTGTTTCTGAAAAGGGTTTTCATTATCTCATTTTAGGTATTATGGAAATGGTGTCTGGAATGAGACGTCAAATAATATTACATTTAAGAAATCTTGGTTTTGTGCGAAGCCATGGAGCTGGTGATATTCGTGATTTAAATTTGAATAGTAGAAATTGGGCTGTCATAAAAGCAGTTGTAGGTGCAGGAATGTATCCGAATATAATGCAGGTTTTTAAAAAAATTTATATTTGTAAAAATTACTTAAGGTAAATTAAATTTATAAACTTTTTTTTTTTGAAGTTGCTGTATTAATGATAATAACTAATAGTGTTTGTATTATGTTGTCAACATGTTTTTTTAAAAAAGCTTCACTTTTTTTATTGATTAAAAATTTTTTTTAAAAAAAGTGTCAAAAACTCACTATTTTGTGGTGTTCTTTAGAATCAATATTTTGTTAAAGTAGGTAGTTATTATTTGGAAATAATTTCATACAACTTTCATATGAAACTATTTCACTCGATGAAACTAATTTTGATTCATCACTAATTTTTCTTGTGATTTTTTCCTGCAGCTTATGTGGCAAATTATCCCTATATGTTTGTTTTTTTTACGATGCTTTACTGTGACTTTAATACAACTCGAGATAATACTTTTCAATACTCGACTCGAGATAAACTCGAGAACTTTTCATTACTATATCTTCATTACTACACCTTCATTACTACACCTTCATTCATTACTACACCTTCAAACAAAGAATCTTTAATAATACTTTTCATTACTACACCTTCAAGCAAAGAATCTTTAAGCATGTCTAAAGCCAAAAAAAGATTTATCTGATTAAGTAATTGCTAATACTTTCTATAATGTGTAAAAAAAAAATTTATCAAGAAGAAGGTTAAACTAGTAAAAACAGACAAAAGATAAAACTTGTTTTAAGAAACATCAATTGGATTTTTGCAATTTCTTTTAATTTTAACTGCTAATAGTAGTACTTACAGTGTGTCAGCACGTGATGTTTTTCCAAAAGTATTTATGAGCAAGGGTTTAAAAAATAAGAATAAAACACCTATGCTTGACATATAGGAGGTACTACCTGATAGACGACAATGTAACATTAGTCCTGTAAAAATTTTAAAATTGTCTGTGTAGCATGAATATTGAAATATTGATGAAAAGAACAAATTTATCCAGAGATTTAGGTAATAACAGTTTCTGCCTTTTATTTTTAAGCACAGCTTGGACAGTACACCTTTTTTTGAAATTATTAACAGGATATATAATATATACTTTTATATTACTTTTACTATATACTTTTAGCAGTAAATATACTCTTTTTGTAATTTATGCATAATATTTTTTTAAAAGCATAATGAATGTGTATTAGAGTTTATTAGGAAAGTTATTTAAGAATATATTTTTGAATCCACATTTTGTTAAAATGTTATCTTTTTTTTTACATAAAAGGTCGACAGAGAAAATTTATCATTGATATCAGATCAAGAGAAAAAAGTTAATATTCATAATTCATCTGTACTGCTAGCTAAAGTTGATGACAAACTACATAGTGAAGCAACACGTGTTAAAAGAATGAAATCTGCAATTTCACGCTTACCTTTTGATTGGGTTGTTTATGAAGAACTATCACGTCTTTATTATTCTGTTCAAATTCGTTGTGTTTCAATATTGTCCCCAGTTGCATTATCTTTAATGTGTGGTCCATGCATGTCCTATGAACATAGCAGTTTGCGCATAAAATCTGGTCAAGAAAATCAAGGTATATTTTTCATTGTAAAAAAATTTGTTGAATTTAATTCTTAAAATACTTCATGATAGATTTTTGTGTTAGGTCAAAAAGAACAACTTAAAGATGCATTTTTCCAAGAAAGTGACAGCGAGGAGGAAGATACAAGTATTGCCGAAGAAAAAAGTTCTTTTAAATTAGACGATTGGATCTCCTTTACTGGAGAGGATCACATTTTATACTCCATAGCTATGTTAAGAATAAAATTTCTTGCTCTGTTCTCAAAACGTATTCAAATTCCTGCAAAATCTTGGAACCAAGTTGATGACCACGTTGTTCAATGTATAGTCAACATATTAACCAAAGAGGAGCAAAGTGTTGGAGTTACGAATCCAGCTACTAAAGATATCGATAGAAGAATGGCATACGAAAAACGATCTGATAAGTATGTAATACTTTAAACTTGTGTGATCATTTATTTTGAAACATAGTAAATTATTTAAATTTTGTTAGTTTCTATAGAAGTTTTTCACAAAGCTCCGCCATCTTTGTTTTTCACAAAGCTCCGCTATCTTTGTTTTTCACAAAAGTCCACCATCTAACAGGATTAGGCCTAAAATTGTGACAAATTTATTTGTCTCATTTTTTTTTATGATTGTTATTTAAAGTAAGTTTATGTAATTAAAAACTAATGATCATTAGTTTTAATTAAAAAAAAAAAAAAAATTTAAAACGATGGTAATGGAAAATATAAGAGGAACATAAGCTTGCTATTCCTATACCAAAAAATATTGTAGTCGATAATTAATTTTAACTTTTGTTTCAGGTTTCGCTATAAGTCTGGCCCACACGAAGGCTTAAGAAAGACTGGAAATTATGAAATTGCTATACCTGACTGGCGAACACGCCAAACCCGCGGCAAAAAAGTTGTTGCCGACCAAGATGACTCAGTTTTAAGAGATGAAAAAGGTGTACAAATTAATACGGAAAACGAAGCCGGTTGTTCGGAAGTAAAACGGCGTCCTGCGAGTTATTTCATTATGAAATGTAATAATGACAAGAATATGAGCATATCATTTGAAAGAAATATATGGGCAACAACAAGAGGAAATGAAAAAAGATTAAATCGAGCGTTTAATGAGTCTGATGAAGTGTTTCTAATTTTTTCTGTTCAAGGAAGTGGACATTTTCAAGGTAATTATCTCTTTAGGGTGAGTTTTTATAAGGTTGTAAGTTAAATTAGAATATTGATACTTTTTCGATTTTTAGGTATTGTTATACATTTCAGAGTATCGGGGTACCGATTCATTTTCCAATATTTTTTAAAGTCTTTAAAATTCACGCTAAAAAGTTTTACTAAAAAAAGTTTAAAAGTATAGTTTGCTGATTTGGTATTAATATTGTTGATTTCTTTAATTTAAACGCTTAAACACGTTGTTTGTCGTCATAACAAGTGTAAAAAAACTAAAGAAAAAAATAGTTTTACTCATTTACTTATAATTGTATTAATTATAAGACCGATACTAAATTATTTTAATTTATTAAATAAATTATTTTTTAGTTCCATTTTTTTGGAAGTTTTCGTTCCATTTTTACAAATACCTATGTGAAATGTGGCTGCGTAAAAACATAAAGTGTAGATCATGTTTAACTTTAAAAACATAAAGTGTAGATCATGTTTAACTTTAAAGCAAATCTCTAGAATCTTACAGAAATCAAAGATTTAAAATAATTTTTTTTTTTTATTGTGTATTTTTCTATTTAGAATCTTATTTTTTAACAAAGTCTGTTTTTAACAGCCTACAGAAACCAAAGATTTAAAATACTTTTTTTAATTATTACTTTTTTTTTTTTTTATTGTGTATTTTTCTACTTAGGCTTTTTTACATTATTATTATAAATTTTGCGTGAAAAAGTTTAAAACAAAAATGCAGTTAAATTTCTTGAAAACTAACTGTTATTTTGATGACTATTATGAGGAACTAGAAAGTTTAAGTTATCAGATCGGTCGCTGCTTAATTTATTTAACCAATGAAATAACGATAGTGTGTTTAATTTCGTGATAATTTGAGAACATCAAATAAACTTTCTGAACGCATTATATTATATTTTTGATTATTGTGTTTTAGGCGTTGCTAAAATGACTTCTGAAATTGGCGATAGACGTTGCGAAGATTTTGGATCATTGAATTTAGGAGGGTTATTTAATATAGAATGGATTCACCAAGAGGAAATCGCTTTTCAGTACACTCAGCATCTTTGTAATCCGTGGAACGACAACAAAAAAGTTCAAATAAGCCGTGATGCTCAAGAATTAGAAACTAATGTTGGCAAATCTTTAGTAGAGATGTGGCTTCATAATAGTACATTAACTAAAGATTTAGAACAGAATGAAGAAAATTTAGAACAGCAAGATTTAAATTCACCAAGTTTAGCCAAAAATAATGTCGTTGAAGAAGCTTTTTATTCAGACGAGGTTTGACCATTCTTTACCTTTCTAGGACTAATTTATAGTTAACGATACTACAAAAATCTTGTCTGAATGTGTAAATATTTTTTTCTTTCAGGTTTACTCGTCGAACGATCCTGCTTATATGGATGGATATACGCTTTATAGTCCTCCTCCGTTTAGTCCTCAATATATGCCTGAATTTCAACATATACCTCCATTTGGTCATCCCCAAGTATTCCAACAACCTTATCCTATGTACGCTCCTCCTGGAGGTCAAATTTACCGTCATCAAGACTATTACATTCCTCAGTATCCACCACCACGCAGGAATACAGCTCACGATTATTACCGCGATGAAGGTTGGGATCCAAGAAATAGCCGTGGAAATTATCGTCAATAAATATATCGTCGAAAGAGTTTTATATTTTTCTTCTCGTTTAGAATTTTTCTTTAAAAACGAATGTTTTGTTTATTAAAAAGCGATTTTAGAAACCTTTAACTGAAGTTTTAGTTTCCGGTACGGTGAGATCAAATTGATGATCAGAGTGGTGAAATGAAACTACCCAGCGTATTAAGACGAAATTAGGGGAAGTTTGTGTACCCTGGGCCGGACTTTTTCAATGCTTAAATTTAAAACCGCAGACTTGTCTAAAAATATTGAAACTGATACGATCACATCTCTGTACTAATTACTTCGTACTTATATAAGTATATTGGCTTAAATTCCGTCATGTAGATGGGTTTAAAAACTAGTGACCCTGGGTATAATTAGCTTTTAATTGTGCTTAGGGCCACTAGCTTATTGTACCTAGGGCCGCTCTCTGAAAATTAGGTTTAACTCCATAATAAATTGATAACAAAGATAGACACATAAATTTGAATAAAAATTTATTTAATCTTAGATTAGTTTTTAACAAATTTATCTGGTGTTACTTGATTGCAACACTTAAATAACAAAATTGACTAGTTCTAAACAAAATTGACAAATAAATTTACGCGTAAAGTGATAGTTACAAAACAACCGCGAGAGAAAAAAACTTCTGCACCGATCAAAACTCAACTATCTACCTCGTTATCGAACAATTCTTTACGCACATATGGTCCTAGATACAACGAAACTACATGGCCCTAGGAACAAGAAGTAATAGCTTCGTCATCATTAAGAAAAAACTTATTGAACATCGCATTTAGAAGTAAATGACAAAAAATATAATATACAAAAACTTATAGTAAAGCATTTTCTCTAGGATGTAAAACAATCAAAGATACTAGCGACACAAACTGACTTTGGACCATCAAAAAGCGTTTTCCGATTTTAATTTGCCTTAGCAACGCTCTCTGAAAATCAAAATAGAATTAAAAAATAAATATTTTTTATAAATAATCACTTAACTGAGAAGCATTACTTAAATCTTTATAGTTTTCAAATAAAGTGGGTTGGCCCTTGGTAACAAACTTTCCCTAATATCCAGCGTAAATTTTTACATTATTAATTTTTAGTGTGACTAGATCTTAATTTTCAATAACTTTTGACTAAACTTGATAATGTCAAAACAATCATTTACAATAAGGTTGTAAATACCTAAATAAAAATGTTTTCAACTTTTATGGTCAGTTTGAGATGTATTTTTAACTTATATGGTCAGTTTGAAATGTATTATAAATATTTTCAACTTTTATGGTCAGCTTATCCCAAAATAATGATAAAATAAACAGTATCTTAATCAATATAATTTATCATTGATGTATATAATTTTTTAGTTTCCTAGCATCGATCTTAGCAAGCAGGGTGATTCTTATTATATTGTACTATTTATATCATCTGTGTACAGTCGTATGGAAATTAAATGTGTTTCAATCGTATGGAATGTAAATGAATGGATTGTATTCAACGAACTTTCGTTGTCATAAAATCAAAGCTCTTATTTCTTTTATAAATTGAACAAAGCAAAAAATATCCTTCCAATGTTGGCCACACTATTCATCAATAAAACTTATAGTAAAAGACAATCATCCGTGAGTTTTTTAAGTGTAAATTTTGATGAAACCTTATCCTGGAAGCCTCACATAAATTCAATTGAAAGAAAAGTTTCAAAAAAATTGCTATTTTATATATACTTAAGCCATTCCTAAATATGAATTCCTTAAAAAGTTTTTTTCGTTTATGTACAGCCACCAATTAATGACAACATAGTTTGTTTTAGCATTAATCGCACTAAACTAAACAAACTATATAGCAGACAAAAAATACCTGCAAAATTGTGTTTAGAGTCAATAAAACAATTTTTATGAACCTCTTTTACGGAATTTAGATGTATTTAATAATTTAAACTAAGCACTCATCTGTTTTTCAGTTTATGTATAAAACAAAAAACGAATTGTTTCATAATAAAGTATCTGATTACTATTTTACATAAATTAAACGTAAATAACCTAGTTATTTACGTTAGTTAGTTAGTTAGTTCTTAAAAAAACAACTTACATGTTCCAAAATCTTATTCAAAACTATTTTCTTCTAGAAAAGTTTAGAAAAAATTTATTTCAGCAATTTAAAACTGAACTTAAATGATACATCTTATTTATAAATTCAAATTTTCATCTTATTGGTAAATTCAAAGAGACAAAGTTTATCAATTATAAATGATAATGAGATATCATTTATTTCTACTTAACATTTATTTCCGTGAAAAGCCTCTACAAATAAAAAAATAGATGATATGATTTGCAGTAGAAACATTTTTGGAGTAAAGTCAGTTTTTCCAAATACTTTCCACAACACAAATAAAATATGACGCTAGCAATGTAACCACAGCAATCACACGTTCTTAAACTAAAAAAACCCATTTGCCCAAGACAATAATGATTTTGGACTATCGAGGCAATTATTTAATAAATAGCCTACTTAATAGCGTTTGAATGTCTTGACTGAATTTCAGCTAAAATTAATTTATAATTTTGAATTTGTTGAGTATTTTTATCAATCAAAATAATATATTTTCCATTTTTATATAAATGTTCTGCTAGATAACTGTAACTTTGCTTTATCTGATAGCTAACAAATGTTATATTTTTTCGCATGTCCTCTATAGAAAACTCAGAGAAACCAATTATATATAATGCGTCAATTGGTTCATACTTCTTTTTACTGTTGCTTTTTGTATTCAAAATGTATGATTCCTATTTCATTTCTAAAATTTAAAAAAATTATTCTTTGTTAATTAATTTCATTATAAATATTTTTAAAATAATTTTATTTTTCATTATAGTTGTAATATCTTGTATACTTTAAATGAAAACAGTTAATCAAAGAAGCAGATGTTTTAACATCAGTTATTATATGAGGAAGCAGTATCTTCCTTGATTTTTTAAAAAAATAAAAAGATTATCTAAACGTACTATTAACAACCTCAACAACCCATCTGCATTTTGTAACAAACCTAGTATGGTTAGCTTGTAAACTAGTTAACTGATTTTTAGAACAAGTTAGCATCTTTGCAAATATTTTATATGTATTTTTCAGTTCATCAATGATATCTTTGATATCTATCTCTATCTAAAACTAATATCTAAAACCTGTATTTAAAACTAATAAATCATTGGATGAACTAATTGTTATAAACTGCTAAACTTAAAATATTTCTTAATATAGTTGGGTCGTTCATAGTTGCAGCAAAAGGTCCATAAACATCAATAATAAAAACCATTTGCTGTGCAAACTACAAAAGGCTTAACTAAATGTTATTTTTTTCCCACTGTACAGGTTTCGTTGTAAAGAATTGTCTAAATTTTTTTCACAGAATAAATAATTATCATCGGCTCTAATTGTTGGCTGTTTGTGTAAACTCTTTTATTACACTTTTATTACAACTCTTTTTTTTAATGTTATTCATCTCTCCAAAGCCAAGGAGACCACTGCAGTTAAGGAGGGTACTTCATTATTTTATTGTGGTCAGTAACAGTGTGTTTCTCGTTTTCAATGTGTTTCTCATGCAGCGCCTTGCTCGTTAAGGTTCGTGTTTCGGAGTAATTAGTTGTAACCACTGGTTACTAATTACTCCGAAACAAGAACCTTAACATAAAGGCCGCTGTACGAAAAACACATTGAGCGCGGTATTACCAGGGACGTGGTTGGGATTGAACTCAGAACTTCACGCCTACGAAACAAGCGCTCTACCACTAAACCACTAACGCGTTAACTCTTACAGAACAGAACTAACACAAGTGTAAGTTATACACCGAGCCCACAAAAGTAACCAAAGAACCCAAAAGAACATTAATCTTCCATAAACAATATTCCTTTTAACCTAACTTTCTTTTCTTCATGACACTACTTTTTTTAATGTTCTTGTAAAAAAAGGCATAAAAGTGTCACCAAAGTTACAAGTGCTAAAAGAGAAACTCATGTCGCAACTTGTGTAATAATAGGGACAATATCTTTCATTGATACTAATCTTTTCAAGAGTGTTGAAGTGATGAAGTGAGTGATAAAGTGTGTGTGTGTGTGTGTGTGTGTGTGTGTGTGTGTGTGTGTGTGTGTGTGTGTGTGTGTGTGTGTGTGTAATACTATAAAGGATATATATCAAATATTGCTTCTTTTTATGAAATGAAAGTTTTACATTTAAACAGTATTTTCAAATTTTTTAAATTTTACAACTTTGACGATTTCCAGGATATATTGGAACAATAAATCGAGCATAACAATATAACAAATCCTGAGGTAGAAAATGCAGAATTGTGTCAAAACAGAAAAGGATATTTTTCTTTGAACTGCCAAGTAATTAAAGGTCCTTTAAAAGAAATTTTTTCTACTTGTATTTAATGGACTAGATGTGTTCAAGGCTCATGATATTTTACCAACTCAGTCATTAAACAGGTTTTAGAAGATCATTGTTGTGTTCTTTTAACTGGGGACAACACCCCATATTATTAGTTCAAGTGTGACAGTGGAATGTTGTTTTGGAATTTGTTTGCAATATCCTTTTACAAATAAAATCAAAATATTTTATAGACATTATTGTATCTTGCTTCACAACATTGCCATTTAACAAAATGATTTTTAGGCACACAATTAAATGTAAAATTATAATGAGGAAAATGGTTCCAAAGCATCTACGAGAGGTTTTGTAGGAGAAATTAAAATAGTGATTCGATTCTTTTTATAAATTTTTAACTTAACAAAGAAAGAAAGCAAAAATAATCAAAAAGTATCAACAAAGAAAATTTTTTTATCGATAAAGTAAATGAAGAACTCAATCTGATAAAAAAAGTATTATATTGTGAAAGAAAAATAACATTCAAAAACATAGAAATGCTCTAACAAAATCCTTAAAATCGTGTTTATTAAAATCAATATATTAATATATAACATTGTTAATATTTTTTGCAATTTTTTATATTAATTTCATAATACCTTTGTTATTTT